AAAGTTAACATTCTGGTTACCTACCTACTTCAGTTTCATTTTTTACATGATTTTCTTTTCATGCTTTGTGGGTTTGTTTAAGAGTCATTCTGATGGAGCATGCCTCACTTGCAGTGTGTTGAAGAAATGAAGTGGCTGTTGAAATTATTTAATTATTTCTCCTGCTGTGAAGTTGGCTTTTCTGGCATCTTGTGGATTGAGCACTTGCTAGTGTAATTGATTTAGCATTTCATTTCTTTCCGTCTTATTTGGGAGTTGTCATTACCAGAAAAAGATGTAAGTTTGTCTCTCAACACACAAGATATTCCATGGTGTCTGTCTTAGTACTTTCATTGTTACAATCATTTTGTTTCTTTATTTTAAATCAATACTACTTTCATCCACTCCTGTAAAATTACTTCTTTTATTCACGTTATTTTAGTAATTACTTTGTTTGAACCACCCATGGCAGAACAATACAGAAAATCAGCTTGAAATTTGTAAGATAGGAATTCAAATATAAATAGCCAGTGACAACTTTATTTTTGCTTGGTTTTTTTATTCTCGGCTGTCAAGCAATCTTGTAGCTCAGTCCATCTAGCTTGTGTAAAATATAAAAAAAAGCAGCATAGCACTGATATAGTTCACTCCATCCAGTTTGTGGCCATTCTGAAAGCATTCTAGTCACTGGAAACATGTCTAGAACTAGTTATATTCAATGTTGTAATGGAGAATTTGAAGTCGACAGGTAAATTGAAGGAATTCCTGCTTAATTAAATAAATGATCACCCATAACAAGCTTCTTCCATTAAGTAATATATTTGACTCCTATACAAGTATAGAAAAAAGCTAGTTCAAACATTAGCAAAACCCTTCCTAATGTAATAATTTATGGATCAGGATGCTGGGAGTCACCAGATCTGTAGAGGTACACTGTAAACACAAATCACTATGACTGTACTATCTTATATGAAAACTAATTACATAATCAATGTTTTATGTATTTATCTATATATATTACATATACTGTATTTACTGGCGGAGGATCCTGCTGAAATTATGTACATGCTGTTTTCTAGTTGCTCTCTGTAAAAGCCAATTCATCAGGCATAAATTCTTGATATTGAATGATGGAGTTTGATGGATCAAGACAAAAATTATTACCTTCAAACTGATTTAATGCTCTGGAAATGCTAATGTCCTGGAATCCGTCATGGCCAATTGGTATATCTTTCATCTCCTCTTTCCTGAGTTTCCTACATGGTGCTGGAGCAAGATTCTGCTCTTCTGTGTTCTTTCTTTTAAGTGGGTTAAACAAGCTGTGAAAACAAGAAACTGAAAGCCTTGGATTATTAGTACCGAAATTGTTATGATTCCCACAGCCTGAGTTTTGAAAGCTTATGCTGGTGGCAATTGTTTCCATGCATGGAAGATCTTCAGAGGCAAAGATGTAAGGCAACAGCGGGCAATCAGGGAGTAAAGAGTTATTGGCGAGCTGTGTCTTAGAGTTTTTGTCCAAAGGCCATTTTTCATTCACGTTATTTGTTGAATCGCCAGTAACTACAGTTTGAGAGCTAGGGCTATTTCTATCTTCCCAAGTGTTCTTGGGGATGCTGTTTTTCTGTCTAACCCGACATAGCACCCAATCGTCCAACTGGAAATAATAAAGGAAACAAAAGAAATTCCATTAAAACAAAAACAAGAAACACAATCGAGTTGTAATTTTCTTTAGCAAGAAACAAACATACTCTCATAGACCCTTTTTGCTTCCAAACAATGGTGTCGAGTAACCTATACTCTTGCATGATCCAATCAGTCTTGATCCCTTTCGGAGGGCGACCCTTATAGAAGACGAGTGCTTTCTTGACTCCAACGCTCTTTGTTCCACAGGAGGTTAGAATTGGTTTATCAGTTCCTGTTGCCTTCCAATAACCGGAAGCTGCTGCTCTGTTTGGCCTCACTCCATTAGGGTATTTCCTATCTCTTGGACTAAAGAAGAACCATTCATCCTCTCCAAACAGAGCCTTGTCTGCATATATGGAAGTAAAGATATGGGTTCATCAGTTTCTAAGAAAAAGAGAAACATGAAGGAAATTAGTGGGTTGACAAGTAAAAAAAAAAATTGCAGACTTGGTAGCTCCCATGGATTGTACTTATAAAGATGTATGTCTGCGATAATAGAAGCTGGTAATGGAGTTGAGTATGTTTTATTCTTCAAGTAGTGAACTATTAGTTCTTCATCAGAAGGGTAGAATCTAAATCCAGGTGGGAGTTGAAGACGATCTGAGAAAGCAAACATTGTTCTTGGTAATGGAGGAACAAGGAAAATCACTGGAATTAACGATCAGAATGTTTTGTATAGTTTGAGAAAACACTGTGCAGATGTTATATAGGACCGTGTTATCTCCTGCACGGATGTGGAGGTATTATTACGCTTATTATATGTTTATATGTATATATATATTATATACAGCACCTAACACTGAAGGTTGAAAGAAAAAGTCCAGGAAAGCAACCTTTTCGTCTTGGTATCTTAATTTAGTATTTGTCAAACCAGGTATTCTTCAGTATTGGACTTATCGAATATGTTGAACTTGTTAAATTTAAAAAACAAAGAGGTTTAATTCAGACTGTAACATATATATATATATATAATTAGAGGTAATATACAGACATATATATAAATTGATGAAGGTGAATGCATCCTTAATATTACTAGGCAGAGAATTTTAGTATCTATATTAAAATTTTTAAATGGATTTCAAATTTAAATAGCCTTAATCTTGAACTTAATTAGTTGAGAAATGACTCAAAACACGTTGTCATCTAACTAATTAGTTGTAGATTGCCATAATTTTATGTGTTTTCAGACTATTAATTAGATTTGATTAATATAATATAGAATCTGACGTTAAGGAGAATAGTTGACTTTTAGTTTTGAACCAAATCATGGACCTCTACATTACGAGAATTATTATGGAAATTATTTGAAAATCGACAATTTAATTTGGTGATAATGAATTTTTTTTAGAAAATAATGCATGGAATATTCTTAATTGCGAGCTATTAATGCTACTTGAGATCCTCCATGTAAATCCTTTAGCTAATTAATTATTATGTAGGAATATATATAAAAACACATGCAATTAATATGTTAGACAGAATTAAATACAATAAGTTAGATATTACTCTCAATTACTTATATATATTTTCTAGAAATTAAATTCTTAGGGCTTCGGATACAAATTATGACATAATTTCTCCTATTTAATGAAAATTTGAGCTAAATATGTACCTTTTCACTAGTGTACATACATATATATATATATGTACATAAAAAACTCCCAAATGCGTATATAAATTACATATCCATTATCCAAATCAAATATCAATTTAGAATATGAGATGCTTAATTTCGTTGATAAAGTAAAGTTTATAAGTGATTTAGGAAATATAAATATCTTGTTTGCTGTTTATGTTTTTCCTTCGAAAGAAAAAGAAAGGGGGAAACAAAAGTGTCGGTTAAGATCGAGTAATTGATTGTTGCTATAAAGTTCTTTCAGTTTCGCTGCATGCATATTTATAGTCCACTATTCCTTATGCTTGCATTTGTAACATGTTTTCTTTTATATGAAATTTTGTTTATGTTATAACACATGCGTCGTTAATAACAAATATATTTAAAACACACTATAGGTATATAATTTGAAGTAAATATTTTTTAAATAGTTCTTCTACGTTAATAATAACACAATATTCTAATGGTAATACAAAATGAGATGATACAAAATTATGGTAAACAATTTGAATATACACTCTCATAGAAAGTGATAAAAATGCTCATTATTTAGAAAATGAATTGCCAGTCAATTTTAAATAAATCTGCTTGATAATGTTGAAGTTTGTTGTTTGATAACGTAAAAATAAGTTCTTGACTTAGTACTTTAGATATGAAATCATAAACTATTTTAATTCTTTCTATTTTTTAAAAATAACATTTTGGATTATGATATTTAAGTCAATACAAAAGTATTGAAAAAAAAAAGAGTTCCTAAAAGTTAACATAGAGATACAAAACAAAAAGATTGAAACATTAGGTGTATTTATAGAGATAGGTTAAACAAAAATTAATTACAGTTGTCATAAATCTAAACGTGAGAATGTGGATAATGATTTCCCAAAACCTAAGAACATATATGCATTTTCTACCGTGGATAATTAAAAGACTCAAGGTGCCATCGTAGTTAGTTAAGCAGAATGTCTACTTGTATGTGAGATGACATGAAAAGTCTATCTAGTTAGTAAAATAGTATTAATAATCTAACTTGTTCCTATTAACAATAGGTAAAACTTGATTAAATAGGTAGTATTAGGTACTATATAGTCACAAAAGGTGCTTCTTAATAATTAGAAAATACAATATGCTTACATTATAGATAGGGTACCTACATACCTAAATCGAGAGCTAGTATGAGGTACTTAGAGGCTAATTTCAAGGAGATATCTACTAATGTAGATAAGTGATAGTATACTGAAGTGAGTGACAGATTTTGTTGTATCAATAGTAATTTAAAAAGAATTATATATTATTTTATTTATAAACAGATCATAACTTTTATTTCACTTAATTTTTCTCCTAATTTGAATATATAAGATGTTGGTCCAAAGTTTCGGATAATCCAAGGGAGTGAAGTGGTTTATTAAAATTTTTAAGGCTTATAAATAAAGTTTGCTATTTTTTTTTATGTGGTAATCGACCTAAGATAAAGAGTTTTCTTATATAAATACCTTTACATTAATTGATATGTGGAATATGCTTGAATAATATAAAAACTTTCACTTTCAAATTTAAGTTTAAGAAAGACAATAATAGTATCAACAAGTGAGAACAATATATTTACTTTACAATTAAATATGCAAGTATTCATGTGAGTTGTGGATAAGTATGTAATATTGAGTGATGATTAGCAATGAGTAAAAAACAAAGGGAAGAGAATAAAAACTCTTTTATAGAGTTTGACCATAACACTTAAGATAGGTAAGAGAATAAAAACTCCTTTATAGAGTTTGACCATATTTC